CATGTGTGAGTGCTTATTTGATGTTATGTGCTAGCAAACTGTAATAATACCCTGCCTCCTGCTCTTGTTCTGCACTTGGCCTTGTTTAGGAGAGGAAACTTTGAACTCTTATTTGAATTTTATCTGTACAGCCACCTTGGGTAGGGCTGTTCTCAATGTATAGTAGCCCAGTGTATAGGGCTATAAAAGTTTTTATTGCTGTTGCTGGTAATTCCTCTTCCTGTTTGGTAATGAATTTTCTAATTATTTAATATAATTACTGTATAATTTATATAGGTTTTCTATATATAACTTAAATACTTTGTGTTGGTTTTTACATTAGTGAAAAATGAGCATATGTATGAATGTTACACAAATTATTTTAGCTCTATAAAGAGTACCCATGGAGGGGAAGTCTATGCTGTTTTAAGTAGTGCCCGTGTCAGATCTGAAGGGCACTAGATCTGTTCAAGGAGGAATTTGAGTTTGCATAAAGTTAATAATTAAATAATGAAGAAAGAGTGGCATAGCCTTTACATTTTTCTCTCTATTTCTAGACAAACTTCAAAATGAAATAAATGCTTGGTCTGGTTTCCAGGGCAAAGGGAAGTGCCTGTTCCTGGGCTCGTTGGCTAGCTGAAGGGATTTTCTGTAGCCTGACTTTGTGTGTAGCAGGGACATTGAGAAGTGCAGTGCAGCTTAAACCAGTCTCTAAGGTGCTCTGGTTTGCACTGAGAGAAGGGCTCAAACAATTATGGGGCACAGAAAAGGCCTTACCTTTTCTCCCCTGCATCCCCAGGGTGGTATGCACATCAGCGCTCCCTTCCCAGGCACAACAATGAAGCAGCAGTGGCCCCATGCCTGTCTTGCATAAATTCAGTTTCCTCCCTGTATTTCTAGCTCCCACTTCTTTTTCTTTACTTGATTTGTTTCTTGTAAGTGTCTCTTGATGACTTTTTTCTTGGTGGCCTTTCAGTTTCCCGTTCAGGTTCCTTGAAGCTGCCTGCACAAACACTGTGAGAAGAGGCAGAGCCTCTGCTGACCCCTTGAATGTCTCAAGGCGGCAGCTACCAAGATAAGGGGAACTTGCACCCTCCTCCCTGGCCTCCAAACTGCCCCAAATATGTCCAGCAAATGGGGCGACAGCTTGGCATGTGAGCAAGCAGCTTGCGAGCAAGAGGTCTCAGTCCACTTCTGGGCTCTTTGAAGGACAGGGCTTCTGCTGAAGCCCAGGAGGCTATTTGGAGACAAGGCTGTTGTACCTTAGATGCTATTGGGATAAATTCCCATCCAAGCACAGTGAGATGTTTTGCCACATGAAGCTAAGTATAGGTTTCTAAATATTAAATTGCAACACACTGCTAGCAGAAAACTGGGCAAACTGACACCCAGGCTTGAACTGGCAAGACCAAGAATTTGGTCTAGTTTCTGATACTAATACATTTGGTAAGGAGGGTTTTGGGGTTTTATATGTTCCTTTTTTTCCCAGCTATTGCCTCAACACCATCAAAAACCCAATGTAGCATGGTGCAATTAAGAGGCTTATCTAAATTTTGTTACATTGGTTGTTTTCTGCAGCTAATGGCAAACCAGCACAGAATACCACAAACTTTAGTTAGTTTGTTTTAAATTTAAAAAGCTTACAAATGTGAAAATTAACCAAAACAAAGTTCACATCTTTTAAAAAAACCCAACAAAACCAAAACCAAAAACTCGTATTGAATAAAATCTTAGCATAAAAGTAGTACTGAAAACAAAGTGTTTGGCTTCAACAAGGCCAAGTACTGGGTCCTGCACTTGGGCCACAACAACCCCAGGCAATGCTCCAGGCTTGGGGAAGTGTGGCTGGAAAGTGTCTGGCAGAAAAGGAGCTGGGGGTTCTAATTGACAAGCAGCTGAACATGAGCCAGTAGTGTGCCCAGGTGGCCAAGAAAGCCAGTGGCATCCTGGCTTGTATTAGAAATAGTGTGACCAGCAGCAGTAGGGAGGTGATTGTCCCCCTATACTCAGCACTGGTGAGGCCACACCTGGAGTACTGCATCCAGTTTTGGGCACCTCAATTCAAGAGATACATTGAGGTGCTGCAGCGAGTACAGGGGAAGGCAATGAAGCTGGTGAAGGGCCTAGAGAATAAATCTTATGGAGAACACTTGAAGGAGCTGGGAATGTTTAGTTTGAGGAAGAGGAGGCTGAGGGGAGACCTCATCAGTCTCTGCAACTACCTGAAAGGTCATTGTAGAGAGGTTGGTGCTGGTCTCTTCTCACAGGTAACTAGTGACAGAACAAGAGGGAAAGGCTTCAAGCTGCAACAGAGGAGGTTTAGACTGGACATTAGGAAAATGTTTTCACAGAAATAGTGGTCAGACACTGGAATAGGCTGCCCAGGGAGGTGGTTGGGTCACCATCCCTGGATGTGTTTAAGGGTCGTTTGGATGTGGGGTTGGTGGATATGGTTTAGGGGAGAACTTTGCAGAGTAGGGATGATGATTGGACTCAGTGATCCCAAGGGTCTTTTCCAACCTGAATGGTTCTATGATTCTATGAAATCATCTGAGCTTTGTTTCTTTCCACAATGTGTTGGGGCAGGGAAATTGTTCTGGACTAGTCAGTCGCTTCAAACTCTTTTATTAACTTTCTTTAAGTGTGTCAGTCCTAATACCACCTATGGCCAGAAGACAAACAGTGTCCTTTATACCTGAGGAGTGAAATGAGACGCATGTGAGGTGAAGTGTCTATTCCAAATGGACGTGATCTGAAGTTTAAAGCCAGAGTTTGCTAAAGGCAAACCACTATCCTCCTGTGGATTTTCATGGAACTAGGATGGCTTACATCCTGCCCAGGGAGGTGGTTGGGTCACCATCCCTGGATGTGTTTAAGGGTCGTTTGGATGTGGGGTTGGTGGATATGGTTTAGGGGAGAACTTTGCAGAGTAGGGATGATGATTGGACTCAGTGATCCCAAGGGTCTTTTCCAACCTGAATGGTTCTATGATTCTATGAAATCATCTGAGCTTTGTTTCTTTCCACAATGTGTTGGGGCAGGGAAATTGTTCTGGACTAGTCAGTCGCTTCAAACTCTTTTATTAACTTTCTTTAAGTGTGTCAGTCCTAATACCACCTATGGCCAGAAGACAAACAGTGTCCTTTATACCTGAGGAGTGAAATGAGACGCATGTGAGGTGAAGTGTCTATTCCAAATGGACGTGATCTGAAGTTTAAAGCCAGAGTTTGCTAAAGGCAAACCACTATCCTCCTGTGGATTTTCATGGAACTAGGATGGCTTACATCAGATGAAGCTGTACACTTTGTACATACATATAGGACTTCTTTCACCCTCATACTTAGGAAAAAGAAACTTTCAGGGTGAGTAACAGATGCTCCCATGTTGTGAACTAGGAGGTATGGCTTGCTCTTATCCCAACAGCAAAAGTAAAAATATATGGGGAGGAAGGCACACCATTCCCACTGACTTTCTGTTAGGCTCAGGACGGGTGTGCTGTGTTGAACTCCCATGTGATTCTCCATGCTCAGGATTTAAAGGTCTGCTTGGATACACATCAGCAACAGTGTTACATTTCAAGTGGCAGATAGCTGAATGATATTCCAGACAGGAAGAAATTAGCTTAGATTTGCTTCTGTCAGTCTGAGGACATAGTGCAAGTGAATTTGGTACTTGTTCAAGAGAGGGCAGTGGGAACAGAAGCCGCCTATTTTGGCTTGTGACCAACAGAGACCCTAGTGACAGGTTCTAGAAATGTGCATAGTTTTGTTCACCTTTATGTGGGTCATTGAGCAGACCTGCAGAAAGCCTGCTCTCAGTGGTCTGGGCTGCCTGCTCCAACATCAAAAACCTCACCTGTGCTCTGCAGAAGATACCTTTTCATGAATGGAAAAAGCACAGCAGCTAAGTCTCTGCATCACAGCCTATCACTCCCCTTTTTCCCTAGTGTTGCTTTGGCTTCAGGGAGGGCAGGTGGCAACTGGGTCTAGTGCTAAGCAAAGACATAGAGTGTTTTGTGTGGTGGCTTGAGGAGCCACACTGCTTAGAACAGGGAAATGTCAAATTTCCCTGTTTGTGCTGTGGGTTACGTATGTTTGTTTAGATAAGATCAAGTTACACTAGAGAAGTGCCACCACACCATCCATTGCATGTAGTCAAACATGCAAGATTGTTGTCTCAGGTGCCCTAAAGTGAAAGGACAGTTGAGAACATTATGATAGGTTAATATCATGTTTTTTCTTAATGTTTGGACTAGTTCTGGTTTGCTTTCCTACCCAGAGCACTACCTAGTCAAAGCTTTCTCTGAAAGCACAATTCTCATGTGTTGAGATTCTTGCTCATTCAAGCCTCAGTGCTTTGATCAATTGTTTTTCTTTCCACTCCAAGAATCTGTTACTATTGCTATTACTACTTTTCTTGCACTGCACCCCAACCATAGAATACTCCCTGAATTTCCTCATCTGTTGTGTCTGAAGACACCACATGCAGTAAAGAACAACGTATCAGATCTCTTGTTCCCCTTCTTTGATGTGCCTTGGTTGCCACTTGAAATATTTCACAGAAACCAAATTCTGCTTCTAGAAAACTGTGCTTCTTGGGCTCCTGGGTACTACAGTACTCTTCACATCACTAAGCTGTTTGGTGAAATGTTTTATAGAAATGTCAAATACTGGTTGGTATTCTTGAAAAACAGGAAGTCCTCTAAGCCATTGAAACTAAGATTATTGTTAGAATCATAGAATCATTAAGATTGGAAGGGACCTTAAAGATCATCAAGTTCCAACCCCCCTGCCATGAGCAGGGAACCCAACCACTAGACCAGGTTGCACAAAACCTCATCCAGCCTGGCCTTAAAAACCTCCAGGGATGGGGCATCAACAACCTCCCTGGGCAACCCATTCCAGTTACTCAGCACACTTATAGTGAAGAATTGCTTCCTAATATCTAACCTAAATCTCCACTCTCTCAGTTTAAAACCATCACCCCCTGTCCTATCACTATCTTCTCTTGCAGGAACCAAGATGGCATCGCCACATGTTGTCAGGATGGAAGAAATATCTCTGGGAGATGATGAGCGAGGCAGCATAGAATACAAGATCCTGATGGCCTATGCCCAGCGGCGGTTGTCTGTCAGGAAATATGGAACACTCCTGGAAAACGAGGCTAATGTGTGGAAACCATCACCCTTAACAAAAAGAAAAGTAAAGCTGGCCCATCAAAGGGATACAGATGGACCAATCCCAAGAGCAGTTTATGAGGGTGGCGTGGTGAAAAAGCAGAGCAAAGAGCAACCAAAACAAAAACCTAGTACTTATCCATTCCACACATGGATTCGCTGCAGTGGAGTAAGTGAGGAAGTGGACGATACACCCATGTCAGGAGTATTGAAGCTTCAGGGGCCTTCTGAAGAGACATCTCAGCATCAGACAAGTATGCCTTAGTTCTTTCCTTTTGCTGTTTGTCTTTAAATCTCTCTAAACAGCTTAAACAGCTGGTGGCCTGTGGAAAGGCAGGAGAAAGGTGGTTTCTTGCACTTTGTGGCCACCTCTCTGCTAACTCTGTTCATTTTCAGTTCAGAAGGCTCATTGCCAGACCTTCAGTAGTGCCTGCACACAAATGATTCATGCTTGTGACTGGCTTTTCTGTTTTCCATCATATGGTGAGAAGGCTCTTGTAATTGTTCAAGTTGTTGTTTTTTTTTCCCAGGTGTTGGCTTCTTCTTTTTCATACCTGGTTAGAAAGAAAACATAAGACACCAGTCAGACTGAAGACTTCCACACTAAAATCAAGGAAGAAAGTTGTTTGAAGGCACAGTCAAGAATCTTTATAATGCAATAAATATTTCCCCCTTAAAGACAGAAGTGAAATTCTTGGTGCTTGAAATTCTGGTGCCAAGCAGTTGGCAGTAGCCAGCCTTGAGCACAGAGTGGTCCATGTCTGTGGGCCACTTCTCATATCCCCATCATGTATCTTAACTGAAAGCAGTCTTCCAGAGTTACTTAAGTCTCCTTTACACATTGGTATTCTACTAAGTCTGAATGTGCCCTCCCATGTGCTGGAAAAAGAGGTGATAGGTGGCTGTAATATCTCCAACATCTAGGGATCCCATCCATTAAAAGAAGTCTTGTACCCCAGCCCCCAGAACCATGCTCCCTGCAGCACTGATGGCAGCATGGCCTCAAGGCCAAGCCTCCCCAAGCTGGGTGTCAGCCTCCCCAGGGCTGCTCCTTGGCTTCAAATCCAAGCTTTATCTGCCCTTCAGCAGATTGCAGGAACAATTCCTAAAACACTATTGTTTGTCACTTACACTGCTAGCACTTACATTGGCAAGCTTGGCCAGGCCATTCTGGAGAAAATGGGGCTGCTTTTGGGGATTAGCCATTTAAATTGAAGGCCTGTGCAGTTTAAACCCAGTTGCTCAGTCTTAGGTTTTCAAAGTTGGGAACAGCCTGATCCCTTCCTAGAAGTTTAGCAGCACCCTGATAAGCTCTGGAGGCAGATGAGGGGATGGACATGTCTATGGGTTGATTAACCAGCCTTGAAATGCAATTTTTATTGGCTGCATTAGCCCTTGCTACCCTCACAGTCAACTCTGCTTGTGAACGTTATGGGTCAGGCTGCTGCTGAGCTGGTCTTGATGTCTGCTGGTCACACAAGAGCTACCACTTGGCAGTGGTGGTGGGGAGATGGAGTTTTACATCCCAGGGTCTGTGAGGCAAATTGGAAGGAAGAGCCCCTTTTAGATGAACCTTGCAATAGCTCCTCCTGGTCTCTTGGTTGTGGCAGGATCCCTGTTGTAGGCCCCTCATGGAGTGATGCCTTCAGGTGGTGAGAGTTCTGAGCAGGGTCATTACACAAGGTGGATAAAGCCAGTCTGGTTGCTGAATTCTCCCAATATTCATGTCTGCTTAACACAACAGTCTCAAGGATACAATACATATTTGTGATAGAGTTGCCTGTGAACTGAACTCTGCTTCTCCATTGCTCAGGATTAGCCTGTGGGAACAAGGAAAGAGAATTCAAATAGAGCATAATTTCTGAGTCTGGACCTATGGCTGAACTAATCATGGGTAATACCACTCTAGTAGTAATGTCCAAGATTCACTGTCCTATAGAGCAATACTCTTACATATCCTAATACATGGTGTGCTTCTGGCTTGCAAGGATGTACACTAGTGAGCTGCACTCACACTTGCTTCTGTACAGCCTCTGTGCAGTTAGCTGCTGCTCAGAGAGCAGAAAGGGGTAGTACCATGTCACTTGTCTCTCCAAATTATTATCAGCTGAGCTTAAGCAATAGCAAAGCCCCAGCATGGGGAAATGTGTCTCTCAGTATCCTCTGGGCACTTCCACCTCAGGGAGAAACAAGTACATCACTGAATTATTTCCTGGAAAGATTAATTGCCTCCTTTCTTTCCCACCCTCTTTCCCAATCAGGTGAAACAGCAGATGTCAGCCACATTGCAGACAAGCTTGTCAAGCTTGTTACTTCCAGACCCCAGGAAACTCCTTCAGATGTGTCATTCAGGACACTTGATGCCAGAAGTGAGGAAGATGATGATGACAATCTTCCTGGTGGAAGTGAGGGCAAAGAACGTGGTAAGGGTGAGGAATTTCACACTCACAGGCAGTATGTTAGGTTGGGATTGCACACTGAGCCATCTTCTCCAGATCTAGGGAAGCACTCGGGACTTTGGCAGTAAGAGACTGTGAAGAGGGAATTTTACTCTGCTGGTTTCTTGCTCTGTTGCCCACATTTCAGGGACTGCTCTTGCAGTCTGCTAACAAGTCCTGCCTGCTACTGCAATTAGAAGGAGCATCCTTAAAGATCCAAGGAGATGTGACATGAGAAAAGTAGGATGAAGGTGAAGGGACATAAGATGAAAGATCAGTGGTAGGAGTGCCAGAGCTGGGAGCAGAGTAATACACCACAGCTCTAAGACTGAAGACAAGTCCTTGGGGCAATAATGTCTTAGTCAATCCCTCTTCAGTGATGGGTCAACACTGCTCAGCCATCTGTTAGAAGTCTGACCTGCTTGTCTTCCATAAGGTCTGCAGAGACTTAAAGTTTTAGTGCAGACTTTCTGGGGATTTCTGACAAGAGGGATCTTGCCATTTTAACCCAGCAAGCCTAGAGTTTGTCCTCATGAGCTGCAGAAATTGGTAATTATGAGGGGATTTATTTTTTTTTACCCCCCTAATGTTAAGTCCATTTTTGTGGACTTCCTCTAGCTCCTCCTTTGTTCTGGCTTGTTATCAGCCATACCTCAAAGTCCAAAGGGCTGGGAGTGGGATGTTAAAGGCCCTGCTCTTTGCTAGATTCTTAACTGAAGCAAAAGATTGGGCAGATGGAGAAATAGCATTGCTTACACAGACTAGAACAGTGAGCTTCTTCTTAAAGCCTGGATACACAACACTGTGCTTTTGCAACAAAATAGCAGCTGTTTCCATAATTAATTCACACAAAGGCTTTTCCTGTAGTTTGTTATCTGGATCCTCCTAGAAGGCTGTGATATTTATGTTACACTTTTCTTTAACAGATGAAGACAAGATAATTCAAGAAATAGTTTCACTGTTGATACAAGAAGGGGATCGACTAGACAAAGAGGTAACTCCTGTTTTCAGGAGCTACACAGGCATGAGTGTGAGGAAGAGATCACACTTCTCTTGGGAGTGAATGTTTTGTAACCTAGTTCTCCCTGTCTCTATCCTGAACTCTTTCCACATTTAGGGCTTTCTGAAACCTTCACCATTCATCCTGATATCTTTCTTAAGACCAGAGGACTGGCAGAGAGCTCTGTTAGGATGTGGGAATAAGGCAACAAAAATGTTGTGCTCTTTAAAGAGTCCATTTCCTCATTCCCATTGAGTTTCATGGCACATTGACCACTTGACTGACTCTGAGAAACTATTGTGTTTGCATTAAATTGGGCATACAAGTTGTTCCCAGTGGAGGGAGGAAAACTCCACAGCTTTGAGTGTTGCTGTAGGGGTACCCAAATAAGCAGCATCACAAAGTCCATGACAGAGAAAATGGAGCCTAGCATGGCAGCTGTTGCCATGCTTCTTATAACCTTGGCCTTTCCTACCACCCTCTCACTCCTGTCTTCCCATGGCACCTTACCTGCAGGTCTCAGTATCAATGTCATACTTATTTTGCTTTCCCTCTCTCTCTGCTTTCTCATCCAAATGCAAAGAACTTAAAGCCACCTCCAGAACATGAAGGAACAGCTTTGCTGTGAAGCGTGAGGCTTGTGTGTCATCTCTTGCTTTCACCACCATAATTAGACTACACTGCATGTATTACTTAGAGATGCTCTCTTTTCCTAACAGGATGGGGAAAAAATACCAACAAAAGTGGCTCAGTTTAACCACTCCTTATTCTTATTTGCAGATCAAAAAAGACAAGGTTTTATATCAGCATTTTAATGAGATGCTCTCCTACCCCTTCTTCAAGAAGATCACTGATTTGTTCCTGAAGGGTGTCGTAGCAGATTCAACAACTAAGCCAGGAGACCAACTGCAATGCACAAAAGTTGCCTTTACAATGGAAGTCACCACCAGACTTATTGCTCTGGACTACCATCCTATGAACCTGGTCTTGGGCTTTGGATACAAGTACCTCATAGACCATTTCAAGCCATGGATTCAGGACCGTGGTGGCTGGGTATGCATTTTGCCTCTCTTGACTTGTGTACAGCCTAAGGCACCTTGAAGCAACACCAAAGAACCAACATGAGCCCAACACAACCCAAACCAAACTGCAGATTCTTTTACACAGTGTGTTCTCCAGCTGTGGGATGACTTGCAACAAAACGTCACCTATGCTGCAAGTCTTTTCTTTACGTAGGTCCAAAAGTCAATAGGAGACATTCATGGAGGGTTGTTGAGTATCAAACTCCATTCCTGGCACAGTCCCTCCACCACAAAAAGCTGAGGTCTGGGAGAAACACCAGGAATCTTCACAGTTGCCCTAATCTTGTAATTCTCCATAGAGATCTGCTGTCAGCAGGTTCTGGGGGCAGCACTGTAGTTCAGCAGTTCTGCCCTTGGTGTGTGGCATGTCTCTGCTTTCCTTCTACAGAAAGGCATCTTTTTATCTTCGTATCCCTCTTTCCAGGTCAGTTGTGCCAGGTGCCCTATTGCCAGCAGTGGTGCTGAGGTGCTGCACTTTGTAACTTGGACTTGCTGGCAGGCACATGCAACGGAGATCCTGGTCCTGTTGTGCTTCATGAAATGAATGGAAATGTTCGGCATCTGTACAGCCTGTGTCCATCAGAATAGATACCATGTGAGCTCAGAAAATTCTACTGGCAAAGCTACTTATAGGGTTGAAATTAGGATGACAGTCCACATTACTTTTATAATTGCTTTTGTAATTTTATAATTAAATCAAGTTTTCTTTCTATGTTACAGGAGAAGGCTTTGACTTCACCGGATGAGGAAGAAGTAGAGTAATCATGACTGAATTCTTCAGGGTGTGTGAGCCTTCAATTAAGAAACACACAGGATCTTACCACAGTCCAATGCCAGAATTATTAGCATTTCAGTGTTTCTGTGGAAGGTTGGAGCGTGACACAGCTAACTCTGATGGATGGAATTACACTTCCCTAAAGTTGGTATTGATGTAGAAGTGTTCAGTGTTTATCAAGGCACCTCCAACTCCCCTGGAGCATTCAGACACACACGTAGTAATTTTAGGTACCTTTCTGAGTAGAGATGCTTGCCTCTGCTCCTATGAATGGATGTTAAAGTGCTTATCAGTGTTTATCAAGGCACCTCCAACTCCCCTGGAGCATTCAGACACACACGTAGTAATTTTAGGTACCTTTCTGAGTAGAGATGCTTGCCTCTGCTCATATGAATGGATGTTAAAGTGCAAACAGGAGGAAAAACATCAAAGTATGCAATCAAGAACCACCGGACTGTGATCAACCATTAACCAAGTGAGACAAATGCTGCCATCTTTGTGTGGTTCATAGTGTTATCTGTTACAAAATCCAGTTCCTTGTTAGAAAATATACTTCACACACTGCTATCAGTTTCCTCTCTCTGTGATTAGGTTCTCCAAAGTACTGATGCCATTTTATACTTCAGAAAGGGACTGAGAAAGGTTAATGAAGGTTACCAGTGCATTCCCCATGCTCTTAGAAAATAGGCTTGATCTACCTACAGATGTTTTTAATTTGAAGTCTTCTGGTTTAAAACCCTTCAAAGCATAGTGCAATAGATGTTGACTTTTACAGCATTATTTTGTCCATTAATTTGGAAGATACACACATTGTAAGAGCTTTGTAGTCCAAGAAATTTGTACTTATCCTACTGCATCAGTTTTCTTCCTTATTCAAAAGGAGCTCAGTTCTATGAGTAATCTCAGGGATTTCTCCATAAACTGAACTTGCCCTTCAGCCATTGAAAGCAAGTGATCTGGTAAGAGTTCTTGATTGTGTGGCAGTGGAAGGAGTAACAGTGCTTCATTTAGAGTAGAAACGGATGCCAGTGAAACTATTTGTGATTTTGAGGCTTGGTTTGTGGCCCATTTATTTGATGACTTTTGGATTTACGTCCTCCACAAATCCCCAGTGGAGAAAGAGGGAAGTCAGAACATCTGCTGAATCTGTAAAACCATGACATTTTTTTCTGTGATTTTCCAGTACAAACAGGTATTGTTTCCTGAAGTGGGTCTCTGCCCCTCAGTAAGATGTCCTTCTGTTATGGGTACTCCTTCTGTGTGTACAAGTACGTTGTACTACAAAGTTGCATAAAGAAGTTATTAACAAATCATGGATTTGAATGAAAGTGATAAAAAGCATTTTAAGTGGATGTGTAAGATATGCAATGCTGTCAAAGATCAAGTATTTTTCTAATAAACCTGAAACTTTCATGTGCAGCAAATTCTGCCTCTGTTTGGACATGTACGTGTGAAACAAAAGGAAGAGAACTTGGATATGAGTTACCTTTGTTTTCCTTCTTCAAAAGACCTGGGAAATACCTGATATATCTCTAGATTGTAAATCTGAGATTCCCTTATTTTTTATGAACATTCACTCCTTCTGATCAATTAGATGTCCCCAAAGGGGAGATGATTTGTGGGAGAGAGGCAAGCACTTACCCGAAAGTTAAAAATGTTGTTAATCTACTTCCGTCTCCTTCTCCAACATCTTTTTCCTGTGGAAAAAATAATTATGAGGTGTTGCACCCTCCCACACATTGGAGGCTGCTGATTTATTATAAATTTGATTGGTTTCTAGGGCAGGCTTGTTAGCTAGATCTTGGCTCTGAAGAACCAAATCTGGTTTCATTTTAGCTACACTAAGACTAGGCTCAGTCTGCTCGTATACACCAGTTTGCCATTAGTTGGGCACTGCCTTATGGAAGTCACTTAAAAATTTTTCTCTGCTTGAGTAACAGTCTGCTATTTAGCAAATTCTGTGCTTGTGAGTGTGGTTTTCCAGCTGAAGGTTTAGGAGCCCTAAGCCCACACTTGTCCCTCCTCCCCATTTTGGTACCTCAGGGCCAGTTTCATGCCAAGAATGGAGCCAACAGCAAAATAGGACAGTGTTGAACGGGAATGTGAAAAATAGCCATCTAAGAAAAGATACTCAGCTGGTTTTTATTTTTCTCTGGGTTGTTAAGAGGGATTTTTTTCAGTAGCAGTTGGGGCCAGCATAGGAAACCAGCCAAGTGAGCTGTTTCTTATTTAGCCATTCTTATATTTGCCATTTGCATCAGTTAGATTTTAAGAGCAATCTACTCCTTTTATGGCAGGGATCTGTGGTAGCCTCCTCGCTGGAACAGTGGCTTTGGTTTATTCTAAGAGCAGTCAGCAAGGCTGATCATCGAGCTGTTGCCACTGCTGCTGCCTGGGATGAATCAAGAAACCTCTACTACTGGCTCAACCAGTCTCCGTCTTGCTCTCTTCTTGCAATCTGTGATGACTAAACTAGCAGGAGACAAATACACACATTTTGGGTACATTAGGAAGTGGAAGGGATGTGAGGGAGGGCAAGTGGCCATGTCTTCATTTTATGTCAATCTCTCACAAGACTTCTTTTTCTGTGCCCAGCTGTAAGACCCTATGGGGCCAATTTGGGGTGTTACTGCAAAAGACAGAAGTTTACTGTTAGGACAAGAAGTGTCACTTAGGTTTTTTCTTGTTGCGCATCTACCCAGGTCAGCATTGTGCTATTTAATATATCAGCAAATTTAGTTTTAAAATCGCTGATTTCACTGTGTATTAAGGTTGCAACAACAGAGTTTAGCCCTGTGAAGGTGATGCTGGGATATACTTTTAAAGAACACTTGAGTGTTGTGTTAAAGGGAGCCAGTCCACTGGAGCAGCCTGTGTCAGCACTTGGGAGCTGAGGCTCCAGAAGCAGGTGAGATCTGGCCTGGCTGCCATTCCCTGGAGCAGCTAAAGATAAGAAGATCCCACTGTCCATGTGCACATGTGTTGCACAGAGAAGCTCTGCCCTGGCTCGTGGCTGCAGTGCCCCTTGCTCCAGTGACTAAGCAGGAGGCAGAAATAATACAAACAGCTCACAGCCTTCACTCCAAAGCAAACATTTCACTTGTCTGTTACTTACCTTTGCTTGTCAGAGGGTTGGATTTCTTCAGGCTTTCAGGAAACGCTGGCAAATCCAGTATTTCTCCAGCACAGGCTGATGAGGCATATGGAGGCATCTTTGGGTCATTTCACCACATTGCATGGTCTCCCAGTTTTTCAGCTGCTTCTCCTTTCTCTCCTTCCCACAGGTGAGTAGTGTGCCTCTGCTGCTGATACACACACTGGAGTAGACAGAAAAGCAGCAGGTGGACAGAAAGTGAATTGCAGTGAAGCACCGAGGGGAATAGCTCAATAGACACCATTGTCTGAAAAGTGGATTTACTGCCTATGACTTGCCTGCTGTAAAGGCTGGCAATCTGGAACAAGTCCAGGGTTAAAAGTTCACAGCTGGGGTGTAGTAGAGAGAGGGAAGGGTGAGAACCAAGCAGAAAACATTAAAGCTGATTGCCTTGCTTGTTTGTTATCTGCAGCTGTGATGCTCTTGCCAGTGATGGTGTAAACCCCAGAAGCCAGACAGAAATTCTGGCTCTGTTGGATGATACCTAGCACAGCAGGTTGTGGGGTGGGGTTAGGAGATATTCTGGGTTTGGAGCTACTGTCATCCACCCTAGTCAAACCACAGAGAAGGTTTCTCCTGTGTCCCATGATTTGCTCCTCTGCATATCTCCTGCAGTCAAAGCAGAAAGCTTTTCACTGTGTGGATGCAGGGACAATACATTTTCCTGCCTGGGGTGGTAGAAGTGATGGGTTGCAAAAAGATTTCTTCCTGGAGTCAGCATCTTTGCTGACTGATATGATCTCTATGCTGACTTTCATGATAATCTTTCCCTTGTCTTTCTACCCCAGGGTCGCTTTTGACAGATCCATGCCAAACATGGCTCTTACCTCTTTTCCAAGTGGAAGCTCAGCTGCTTCCCAGTCAAAACCAGCATGCTAAATGGGAAACCGAATGAGTTAATCACTGGATGCTGGCGTGAGGTGGGACTTCAGTTTTTAGAAGTTAAACACCCAAGGGGAACTTTCTGTCTGCCACTGCAGTGGTTCTGGTTTATGTGTTCATTACACACGGTACTGCAATGGAAAATCTGGGTTATGCTTATGTTATCTTCCACAGACATCTGAACCTTGATTTTCTTGCATGCCAGCTAGCTCTTCTGAATCCCACCACTTGGATAATACCATCAGTATTATCCTCTGTGCTCACCCCCAACCTAAAATTATATATCCAGGGGAGCATCTGCTGGGTTGGTCCTGTTTGCTAAAAAGGCAAGAGGATGGTCAGAACCAAGCAGTTCATCCCTGCTCAGACTGAGGGCTCTGCTCATGTCTGGTGACAGCAATGCAGGCATGTATGGGACTGTTTTTGTTAAGCAAGACCTGAAGAAAGTATTTGGTGATGCCAGCAGTGCCTAAATATTCGGTATAGGTGCCTGTAGTGAAAAATATTTTGGTGAGTGAAGGCTCAAGGACCTGCTGGAGTCAGGGGTATGAAGCACACCAGGATGCAGGAAAACTACACACACCCCCTGTATTTAAAGTAGCTGTGTGCGCCTGGCTCCAGCTGGTTTGGGGTTCTTTTTATTTCATTCATCTTTTGTGTCTCTGCATCTTGGGAAAGGTGCCTTCCTGTGAGCACCTGGGTTACCAAGATTTTCTGTGGGGCAGGGGATACAGGAATTGCTTTGGGCATTAGCATCATATTAAGCATCAGAGAGAAGGTGAGAGTGACCTTGTGACTGACCTTCTCTGGCAAAGCTATGGAAGGCTATTAATAGCAGCCAAGTCTTCTGCTTTGCCTTGCCAACACCAACATCAAAAAGCCCTGAGCAAGCTCTTCAACCTCTCCCAGAAAAATCCTGGAAGATGAACCCCCTCAGGGGGTGTTCTGGGG